ATGTAGTAAAAAAAAAAAAAAAGAAGGGACATGACACTAAGATCGCCAAGGATGAGAAATTAGCTGCAGGGCCATGACACCCCCCCCCCCTTTTTCCTTTAGCCATGGCCTTGTAACTCCCACAAAATGACAGAGGCAAATAAGATGCCTGTTGTCTACCAAGAGGATTGATCTGTTTTGCCATTCTGATAGGCTTATATGGGTGGTTTCATAGAGGTTGAGGGTGATTCACTGACATCAAGAAAAGTCATATACTGTATTGAAACAGGTGAGGGAGAGATCTGTTTAAAAGGGATGTATGTTTAGATATTATTGTTATGACAGGAGTCCAGAACAAAGGTAGCATAGTGGAGTGAACTTGAGGGGAGGGATTGAATAACAATGAAAGAATTTTTCTTTTACTTTCCAAAGAGAAAAGTGAATTGGGGGGAGGGGTGGTCAGGGAGAAAAGTACAACAATGAATGAATGGAAATCCAAAGTCTCTGTAAACTTTCATGAAAATTAATTTAAAATAAAAGAAAATGTCAGGAGCAGAGCATGCCCTTAGCCCTGGGGTCCCTATGTGGAGAACCTCCTAGACCAGAAGACAAAGCTATAACAATGAAGGAGCTTGCTGACTGCTGTGAATTTCCTACTGCATGGCACAGAGGAACTACAGTGGGTTTGCTGACCCAGAGTGAAAGAGCTGAATGCCTTTGATCAGGAAGCTTGCTGGTAGAGTGGGCTGCCCCCCAGGCATATGTTGACAGAGCTGAAAGTGCCTAACACATGACTGAGTAAGAGACTGGCTGGGAGTAAGGGCCAGCAGGACACAACCAAGAGTAATGTCTGCCTGCCTGCAGGCACAATGGAGAGTGAGCTGAGAAACTAGAAACAATCCTGACTGATGAACTATCCTGTCTCCTGAGCTGTTCCTCTACTTCCAAATTTATCCTGATCCTGAATCGTAAGTTGTTACTTCCCTAATAAACTCTATTCTTGTGATTTTGGTCTCTGAATCCAGTGTGGCCACTACAACAAACTATAAACCCAGCAGAGAAGTTGAGAATACCATAGGAAGAATGACTGGTGTCAGAACTGGTTAAAAGGTTGGAGAGAAGAAGTACGTTTGATTTCCACCTCATAGGAGTCAGTTGTACTGATGCTGATAGTGATTGTCCTCCTCACTCATAAAGTTAGGTAAAGTCTGAAAATTACAGACACCCTATTTCATCAGCCATTTGAAGAGCTTGGGAGGAGCTCTCCAGATAGAGGGAACAGGGTGGTCAAAAGCTCTTGGTGTGGGTAGGAACACAGTGTCTTCAAAGCACTTAGAGGAACATAGTGGGGCAGAGAACAGAGAAAGCAATACAGGATAAGACTGGAGTGAAAGGTGGGGGCTAGACCATGCTCAGCCTTGCAAACAGATTTTTAAAATGCTGTTGCAAGTGCACTGCATTCTTATCTCCTTTGTTTTCTCTTCTCAATGCTACCAAAGAAATGAGCCAGGCTATTCTACTAGTTCTGTCACCCCATGATCGTGATTAAAGGCTGGAGGCTAATTAGAAAAATGTACCATCCACAAACTAAAAATGTTGTTCATTTCAGCACCTTCTCCTCTAAACTCACCTAAGCCAGAACCTATGAATTGGCTGTGAATAGACAAAGGTTTTAATTTCACCACCTCTCCCAACCTGAGAGACAAGCACACTGATTTATTCCTACAGGAATAAATTCAAGGGAAAAACATAAATTAACTCAGTGGTCACTGAGCCAGCTGCATACAGCCTCCTTAATTAATCAGGTCACTTCTTGTGCAGTACGCTATTGATTTAACACATTAAAATATAGAAGGGGAGATAAATGTGCACAAATAATTGTTTAAAATAGAAGAAAGTTCTAAAAAAATGTAAGACAGGTAGCCTAAACCCAAACCAAACTGTCCTTGAGTCACTTCCAACTCATGGGGACCCTCCACCAGGTTTCTGAGACTGAATAAATCTTTATAGAAGACAACTTGATCTTTCTGGGCAAGTAACAGAGATAGTTTCTTGAAATAAGTCTTTTTAATTACATGATCTAGAAGCCATAGAGTGTTCTGCAAAGAAAACCAACATCACAAAGTGGTAAATTTTAAGGGGTTACAGATATTGTCTCCTGTGGAAGGTGAGAGGAAGTAAGGCCAGGTCCAAAGGATGTTCACATGTTCAGCAGGGAAGGAAGTAAAGCAGTATATATGGTACTTTGTTGGGAAGACAATTAGCAATATAGATTGAGTCTCAAAAAATTTTCAGTTTAACTCAACAACTCTCCAACTTCCTAAGGAAAATAATCAGAAATCTGCCAAAGACTTATGCATAAGAATTTCTAATTGAAAAAAAAAAAAAAGAATTTCCAATTGCCTTGTTATTTGTGCTATCAAATATAAAGAATTTAACCTGATGTTGTTTGCCATCGAGTCAAATTGCCTGGCTCATAGCTGACCCTCCTGTGGGTTTTCTGAGACAATAAATCAAACAGGAGGTGACTGCTCATCCGCAGAGCAGCTGATGGATTTGAACCAAGTGACTCTGAAATTGCAGCACAGCTTCTTACCACTGGGACATCAGAGCTCACCCAACATGCACTATACAATTAATTGATGTTACATCTCATAAGGAATAGTATTTAAATGGTATTTTTCTTGAATGGTATTTTTAACAGTAGTGATTTTGGAAATGATCAACATATAATTTTAAAAGCTGTGCAAACTCCTAATTACAGCATGATAATAAGGAATGAAAAAGTAGGGGAGTGAAAAATGGATTCCCAGATATACTAACATTTAAGGATGGTCTTGAAGAGTACGTGGAAATTTCTTGGAGGAAGGGAAGAAAGGATTCTTACATTCTGAAAAAGGCTGGAAGGTAGTATGTTTCTTGAGAACGATTTACGGTAGCCAGATCTCTCAACTGGTCCTAGTCTGCAAGCTCTTTATCATTCCTTAAATGTTGAGATTTTGTTGTGTACTATCAAGTCAGATCCGACCCATGGCTGACCCTTCAGTGAATTTTTTCATTCAGTAAATAATAAGGAAGTTGACTGCCCATCCTTCTCCCGAGGTTGCAGTGCGGGTGGGCAGGGGCAGCCACCAGGTGGTGGATTCGAACCACTTGCCTTTGGATTGGCAGCACAGCTTCTTACCTACCATTGGCCACAAAAGTGGATGAGTTATGACTGCGAAGTGGATAGAAAGCCGACCTACTAAAGTTGTTGTTTGTTGTTGTGTACTGAGGCAGTTAATTACATGGGAGGAGACTGCCCATTTTTTCTCCTGCGGAGCAGCTGGTGGCCTTGAACAGCTGGCCTCCAAGATTGCAGCACAGTTTCTTGCCACTAGGCCAGTGGAGTTCCCTCAATGCCTAGAAATAGCACAATACACAGCCTCCGATGCGCCTCTAGCACACGCTTCGAGGGAGCGAAACAAGTCTCAGGGACTTAACTCCTAGTCTTTCCTCTAGCGCCAAAAACAACCCCGAGCGTCACCGACGTCATGGCGTCAGCCAGCACGCGTCGCGCATGCGCAGTTGGCCGCTGGGCCGGCTGTGTGAGGTTTCACACCCTAGAGTGGACTGACGGGATGCGGCCTACTCAGCAGAAGGGAGCTACTTGAGGTAAAGGGCCAAGGCCGCGTGAGAAGTCAGCAGTCCTGTGGCTACACAGACCGAGGGAAGCCCAGAAAAGTAGAGCATCTCTTCCGAGCTTGTTGCCTTGGTCCCCCAGGTCCTCAAGCCTCCCAGTTCACTCCCCCGCCCACTGTTCTGGGGCCATGCTGCCTGGTGGCTGCCCCTGCCCACCCGCACTGCAACCTCCATCCTCTCCCTTCTTCGGCCCTGGAGCCGTGCCCACTGCCTTCTCTTTGAGGGACAGAGATGGGATGCCCTTTAGGGTGGGAGGCTAGTGAGAAGACAGCCTCCTGTCCTCCCTGCACGCACTGCCCACCGGCCTGGCTTTGCACTCGCCTCCACTTGGGCAGCGCAGGGTTTGGCCCGAATGGTTTCTCCCTTTGTAATTCTAACCCCGACTTGACCTAGTCTCCAGGAGCTGGGGCCATCCAGCCCCAAAATGAGTTTGAACAAGCTCAGGGTGGTTTACTGAAGACATTTGTTTTTGTTTGTTGTTAGATGTCATTGAGTTAAGTATGACTCATAGCGACCCTATGAACAACAGATCTGAGCTCTCTCCTATCCTGTGCCATCACAATCTCCCGACACCTTCAAGCCCATTACTGCAATCACTGTCAGTTGACCCACATGAAGATTTTAGTCTCCTTCACTGTCCCTGCACCTTCCCGAGCATGATGTCCCTCTCCAAGGAATAACATCTCCTAGCAACATGCCCAAAGCAAGCAAGACGAAGCTTCATCAGCTTTGCCTCCAGGAAGTATTCAGGCTGCACTTGCTCCAAATCATGGCTGTTCTTTGGCAGTGCGTGAGCTGTCCAGTACTCTTCTCCAGTACCACAATTCAAAGGCATCAGAAGCTCAGATGAAAACAAGTCTCCTCCCATAATTGAGCCCTCTCCTTGTGCTTTGGGATGTAGGGCATTTGGAAGTCTATGTAGCTAACAGACCCCAAGAAACATGAGGGTACAATGTTTCCTCTTTAATATTTGCCTCATCTGGCCACCTGCATTTTGTATTCGTCACAGTTCCTCGCTCACTGTGGTCTTCTCCTTACCTTTATAATTGTCTTAGTTATCTGCTTAGCCCATGCAGACCCTGTGTGTCATGTCATAAAAGCTTTCTTCACAGCTTCACCGGTGGGAGTGCTCATGTATTCTTTTGTTATGGCCCAGATCATGTCTAATCTGGATGAAGCAGCCCATCAACTGTCCAGAAGTGGGACAAGCCTCTATGCAGTGCTAGAGCTTAAGAAGGGTGCCTCGCCTGAGGATGTGAAAAAGTCCTACAGGTTCAAACTTCAGCTTCTTACCCAACATTGCAATTTCCCCTCTTTAAAGTCTCGTTTCTCTACCTTGTTTTCTAAACCCACTTTAAAATCTCTACCCTTTTCCTTCGCTTTTGGGGTCAGCGTCCTCTTCAGCACGGGATGGGGGAGCATTTAGACTTTTAGCTGCTTGCCCACTTCTTTATACTCTTATCTCGTGAATGCATTCTGCACTATATAAAGGCCTATCCCTATAATTCATCCTAATCCTCCCTCCCTCACCATCCCCCACCTCCTCTCCACCTTCTTTATGGGTATTGCCTGGGTAGGAAACTGGCCTTGAAGTATCATCCAGACAAGAATCCAGGAGATCCTCAAGCCGCAGAAATATTCAAAGAGATCAACACAGCCCACGCTGTACTGAGTGACCCTGTAAAGCGGAAAATCTATGACAAGCATGGATCACTGGGAATCTATATATATGATCACTTTGGCGAAGATAGCGTCAGATACTATTTTATAGCAAATAGTTGTTGGTTCAAGGTACACAATTCTTCTTAATCTCTTAAAACCAAGGAGGACCCGTTGACCCTCCTCTCCTAGAACAAATGTGTGTGTTGTCTCACTTTCTAGTTGGATGGTGGATTTAAGGCACTTTCGTGGCACAGTAGTTAAGAGTTTGACAGATTGGTGGCACAAACCCACCAGCTGCTCCGTGGGAGAATGATGTGGCAATCTGCTCCCATAAGGATTTACAGCTTTGAAAACCTTACAGGGCAGTTCTACCCTGTCTTATAAAGTCACTTTGAGTCAGAATCGACTTGCAAGCAGTGGGTTTGGGTTTGGTTTGGGGGTCTCAGTGTGGGCGAGCTTGACTGGTAAAACAGGGATTGCGAGATTGAGACCATTCTCTCCTGCCTTGTAGACACTAGTCCTCCTCTGTTGCCTGCTCACCGGTTGCTGTTGCTGTTGCTGTTGTTGCTTTTGCTGTGGAACACTCAGACCACCAACTGAGGAAGTAGTCAAGAGAAACAATCAAGAAAATGTCCGCCGTCAACCTCCAAGATCAGGTGAGCATGGCAGGCAGGGGCTGAGGTAAGATCTGAGGAATCTTAGTGGCAGAGTGATGAAGAACTCAAAAAGTGGCCAGTTTGAACCTACCTAATGGTTCTACAGGAGAAAGAGCAAACCTTGGTGGTCTGCAATCTGTAAAGATTACAGCCTAGAAAATGCTTACCGATCAAACGGATGGTTCAAAGTGGTGGATTCACTCCATGTGAGAAGGGTGTGATTTACAGCCTCAGAAAATCCATTGGAGGGTCAGCTATGAGTTGGTTCCCATTAGATGCCATAAATTTGAGTTCCATGTCCTCTTCCCCTGCTCCCACCCCCCCTTCCCTGCCTCCCACCCCCCTTGGAAAAAATCCTTCCCTTGCAGTTGCTTCTTAGCATCACAGAATAACACTCCTGGAAAGTTGAACAATTTCATACCCTGTTTCATGGAGTGGCTATGAATTGAAATCTACTTGGTGGCACCTACCAACAAGACAAACCTGGATTCGGAATTAAATAGTTGGAGCACAACAGCTCTCTTAAACTGTGAATTCCTACATATGTCGAAGAAAAAGATATGTCAATGTGCTCTGTGTCTGAGGGCCCCAGCCTGGCCATTTGAATGCCGTGTGGCCTCATGACTATTAAGCTAAGTAAAGAATGGAGTGGAAGAGTATGCCTAGAGAGGGCAATAGTTAAAATCGGGTTAGAGGCTGTCACTTATTACATTAACTCAAAAGGAAAACGAAGTGTTTGAAATTATTTCCACCCAAGTAAATGTGGGACCTATGGCTGGTGACATTTGCACACATTGCCACCTAGTGATCCTAGTGAGTAACTGCAAGGGAATACTTTTTCAAAGGCGGACGGGGAACCAATTCATAGCGGATTGTCCCGCGGTAATTCTCAGGCTGTAAATCACACAGGAGGAGATTGCATCTTTCTTCCATGGAGCCACAGGTGGATTCAGACCACCAGAGAGGCCACACCTTTGAGTTATCAGTGCAACTCCCTATAGACCAGCCAGCCACCAGAATTGTTACTAAAGGTTAATATGTTTGTTTCCCAAATCCTGTTTTAGCTGCTAAAAGTCGTATTAGAGAAGAGGACTATTCTGACAATAGTGATGATGATTAAAAGACACTGAAGAGTAAGGTATGAAAACACAAAGGCAGTACTATTTAAAGGATAAGAAAAGAAAATACACCTAACTTCAGATAATTTAGTGGAAAGTTTATATCCTTGTGGTATTAGCTACAAGTGTTTATATTCTTACTCGAAAATTTGCTTTAAATTCAGGGTGACTATTCCTTCTGGTTAACAAGGTGCCAACCTCTTCTCTCCATAGGTGCTAACCAGTGAGGGTGCCTTCTGCAGTCCACAGGACACACTGAAGAGAGGAGCAGTAGCCTTGACCTGACATTTATCCTGACTTGACACCTCTTATAATAATCCCACCTTCAGAAGCATTGATACCCGGGGAACACCATCTCTGTTCTTGATGATACCACCAGGCTTAGCCATACAGGGTCTCAAAATTGTTCTTCGTTTTAGCTCCAGTAACTTATGTCAGTCTTTCAGAGAGCAGCCTTCCCACTTCTAGCCTCTGAGGTCTCAGGCCATGATAGCAGACTTTTCCCAAAGATTCTTTTCCCTCTGCCTTCCTTGTGGTGTGGACCAAAGTAAATGGATAGGGTCCCTGAGTCACTTCTATATCTCTGTACTAGTGATAACAAAACAGAGTGGATCCCATCCCTGGAGGGGCCAAACCAGCTAACCGTCTTTCCTGTAACTCTGCATACGAAGCATCCTCATGTCAGCCTCATTTGTAAGCTGCTACACACCTTCCTGGGACTGGTCGCAGCTGCTTTTAGCACCCATGCCCTTTGCCAGCCACATTCCATGTCAACTTGGGAGAAACATGAGTGTATTTGAAGCGTAGGAGCAGTCATGCTACCTCTGGTTTCTCCCTGGACTTCGGCTACCAGCACAGCACATTAACGCTTGTGCAGTGGGAGTTCTTACATCAGAGCCTGCTTGCCTCCATCCTTTCTAGCACATTGTATACACGTTGATCACCATATATTTTATTCTTAAAACAGGCATGAGACACGTGAGAAAGAACTCTTCCAGACCCTTTCCCCCAGATACCTATTTGTTCTACCTATTTGGTATCCCTTCCACGCCAGGGTCATTCCCCATCTACCAGAGCCTAGTCACTCCACAAACTCTTCTTCCCTGACTGAATGAGGGGATAAGAAATGTCAGTAAATAAAGAGCTTTAGTCCAGTCTCAGTGCATATGCTTGTTCCAAGACAAATCGTGTCTGAAATAGAGAAAAATGCCTGTAGGAGAAAAAAAAAGAGAGGAGGCCAGTGTTGGGACCAACCTTGCTTGGAAAGGAAGAGTCTGGAATAACTGTGGGGTTGGGGCAGACAGTTCCAGGAGCCTTGTGATCTCGTGCTCTGTCAGTGCTCTAGAATTTCCCTGGAGACTGATTCCCTTGGTGCCCAAAATAGGCCCTTGGCATACAGGTCCCTTCTGCCCAGTCAGCTTCTCTCAACAAAGTTCAAAGTCCTCAGAGTGGTTTCAGGGGGCATGTTCATGGACCACAATCAAACAGGAACATTCTCGGAAGGTAGTTCCAGGAACGGGCACCAGTGTCCTCTGATCTGACCTGTTTTTCCCAGGGTGATAGAAGATAGGGCTGGGCAAGCACAGAAGGAAGCCCATGTGTTAGACAAGGGGTGTGTCTAGTCTCTGATGCCCGTTCTGAATCACAGGTGTCGAGGCCAGGGTCCAGGGCTAAGCCTGAGGAGGAGGAGGAGGTGGAAGTTGTCGCTGACTGTCTTGTTGGTCTAGCAAGAGTGTTCCTCCTGCCCTCAGTCATGTACATTGCCTCTGACCCAGGCTGATTTAGAATTCTGTGTCACTGCCCTGGAAGAGGAGACCAAGCCTGAGTGTGGAGGTCAGGGGCTCAGCACAGCCTTCTGAGTGGAAGCAAATGAGAGAGAGACACACCTTTGCTCGCCCCCCCTTTCACCTCAAACAATGACACTCACTCCCTGTTGTTGTTCAAGAGAGTCACCCATTCCTGAGTGAGTCAGGGTCACTCACTCAATGACAGCTGTGGCTCGCCTTACATGTGCTAAATTGGGAGTTGGAATGACATACAGATGCCCCTTGTCTCCCTACCCCCACGTTAAAATTAATCTCCTCCCAGGGGAGTAAGGGACAAACTGTGCTGCCCTCTGAGTGAACAAGAAAGTTGTTTAGGGAACAAAAGGAGGATTTTCCAGGGACAGAGGGAGGATAGAAAAAGCTACCTGTGCTTAGCTAAGGCATAAAGCAGAGTAAGACAGAGAACTGAGTAAGATAGAAGAGGCAGCTATCTGAGGGCGAGGTGCGTTATTAGAGCAAAAGCCAGGAGAGAGAACGGAGGTGTTTAAAGAGCGAGCAACAGAAGGGAACACAAGAATTTGCCAACTGTAAAGTCAAGGAGGAAGGGTCCCGAGGCAGTGTGACAAGGCCAGGACCAGGGCCAAGGCCAGGGCAGGCACCATCGCTGAGGGGATGAACTTCACAGTGGGTTTCAAGCCGCTGCTAGGGGATGCACACAGCATGGACAACCTGGAGAAGCAGCTCATTTGCCCCATCTGCCTCGAGATGTTTTCCAAGCCAGTGGTGATCCTTCCCTGCCAGCACAATCTGTGCCGCAAGTGTGCCAACGATGTCTTCCAGGTGGGCTCCTGGTGGGGGCAGGGAGGGGCAAAGAAGCACAGACTTGGGGGAGATTGCCGTGGGTCAGAGGTGGGTGCCCAGGTGGTGACGGGTGGCGAGCCTTGTGAGGTTGGTGATGGCGGTTGTATCTGAAAGGCAGGAAAAGAGCCAGAGTCCTAGCAGATCCCCGAGTGAGCATGAGTCAGCAGTGATCCGAAGCTGGTGAGGAGAGCCTGTGAGGGACAGCCTGGTAAGGAGAGCCTGTGGCCACAGACACAGAGGAAAGCCGGCCCCTCAGAGACTAGGCTTTGTTCATTATACAGCCTGAGCTAGCCTGCATTCCTGCTAGGAGCTCCTAGTTGAGAGAGTGCTGGGGAAAACATGGAGAAAAGATCAGTGGAATAATAAAATATGACAAGCCTGTACTTAAAAACTCAGGTAGTTTTTAAGGGAGCTCTGTGGCCTGGTGGAGGAGGAAGGCCATTCCGCAGGAGAAGGAAGGGCATTCTCCTGTGGGATTAACTGCCTCTGACAACCTGCTGAACGGTCAACTATGGGCTGGTTCCAACTCAATAGTACACAACAACAACTTAAAACACAACATGCTGATTCTTTGGGGGCAGCATTAGATATAGGGGAAATCCTCCCCAAATTAGGTCCTGTGTCCCACTCCAAATAATAAATAGGCCAACTGATGAAAAATATTGAGGCCACTTGACTTAATAGAAAGGTAAATAAGGGATTTGATTTTCTAGATGTGAGTTCATCTGTGGTCCTGGTGCAAAACATAACTAATCAGATTCACAGATGGTATTGTAGCTTCTGATAGCAAAAGTAGAAACAGCATATGATAGAATGGTTCTTAAATAGGCTTGCTTTCTTGCACTGTCTACACCAGAAGATGTGACCCACTGCTGTCAAATCAGTTCTGCCTCATAGTGACTCGCCGTCAGGTTCAGGAAGCTGTATATCTGTTCAGGTGGAGACTGCCCGTCTTTCTCCTGTAGAACACCTGTAGATTAGAATGACCGACCTTTCATTTAGCAGCCTAACACACAACACACTACACCAGGACTCCCCCTGGAGGTACCAGTAATCTGTAGCATGGAGCAAAGATTGTGAGGAATGAGGAAAAGGCCTGGATGCCTAGCAAATGAAATAGAAGCTCCACATTGGCCAGAGCCAGCTTTGATTGCATAACAGTGATAAGGAACATCATGTATAAGTTCTTCATCTGCATCTGGAAGCATGAGGAAATGTTGTAAGACGCAAATGATATTTAACTTAACCAAGAATTCCCATTTTAAGAATTTTTTAGAGAAAAAGAGTTGATGAAGGTGAGCTCTTCACAGTTGTACCCTTGTCTGTCAGATGTTCACTGTCTTCTCTTACTGCCCAGCACCCTGCAGTCTCTCCTGCCATGTCCCCATCAAGGCCTGATTCCATCCCCCGTTCCTCTCAATACCCAAACCTGCTGTTATTTGGCTTCAGACTTTCTCAAGGCCAGAGGCCTTTCCCACATAAGAGACTTAGACTCCTATCCCTGTTCTTCCCAGGCTTCAAGTCATATAAGAAAGGCTACTTTGACCATTGTCATGGTTTTCCCCTGCGCCCAAGTTACTCTGAACATTCTTCAGATAGAAGTGCGTATAGGGGTTGGCAAAATGTTACGAATTTACACAGAAATAGCTTCTCATTAGGGAGCTCTGGTCTCCTAATCTATAGGGAGTTGTGTTGCTAACCGAAAGCCTCCCCTCTATGGTGGTCCAAACCCACCAGCAGCTCTGAGGGTGAAAGACAGGCCATCTCCATATAATCCACAGCCTCAGAGGCCCCGTGGAGGGTCAGCTCCACTGGAGATGGTTCCAACTCAGAGGCAATGAGGCAAGTTGAGCTGATGCTCTCATTAAATCGCTGAAATGTGTGGAAGTGCTAAACAGGAGATCAGTTGAAAGATTTAAGTACATATCATTTAAGCCATAGCCTTTTAAAAAAAATTTTTTTGTGTGTGTGTACCATCAAATTGGATCTGATTGGTACAGGAGGAGATTGTCCCTCCATCTCCAGCAGAGCATCTGGTAGATTCGAACCACGTACCTCTGGGATTGTGGTGCAGCTTAAAATGTGTGAAAGTAAAGAGAAGTTTCAAAGGCTAAAATAATATGCTCATTTATAAAGTGATCAAAATGTTAACATGTAAACCACACATTCTCTGGAGGGACCCAGGAACAGCACCTATACATGGATGCTAGAAGGTGTTTATGTGACCTACCTCATTTAAGCTAATCTTCTGTCCCTGGCAAGCTGCTTTGGTTCCATGAAACTCTAGAATACTGATATGGGCTCTTAGAAACTTGTAGATGGTTTAAGTTCAAGTCAAAAACTGTACAGATTATTTGGGAAACAACATAATTCCAAGAGCTTTGGGATGGCTCTTTGCATCTGGGGTGTTGTACCAGAGCACCTCTGCACCTCCACAGAGGGAAGCATCAACAGCTCATTTCCCTGATGCTTTATTTAGGAAGGCCTGGTGGGAGGCCGACCCAGTTCTCCAGCCACACTTCTGTATATACATCTCAGTATATCCCCCTGTAAAAGATGAACATATTTCATTTTTCACACATTGCCTCCACATTTTGACAACTCGGCACAATCAGATTGTGTGTTTTCTGAGTATGGGCATAAGAATAGGACTTTTGGTTTCTCTGCGTTAAAACTACTTAAGAAGCATACCCTTAGAGCATTGCCTAGAAAGTTAGCAGGACTTATAAAAATGGCACTAGATGTGTTTTTGTAAAGAAATGCACATAGACACATTACACTTTTTTTCTCAAATAGTATAGGAGTTTATTTCATGAGTAGTGAAGATGCTACTCACCTCCGACTCTCAGTTACCTCATAGAAGTAACCATTTGGAAATCTCCTGTGGACAGCTACATGTTTGTACTTATATATGGGTTTTTTAAAGTATATGTAAACACCAATAAGAGCTTATCAGACTATTCGTCTTATACTTGGTGTTGTTAACATATTGTCTGTGAGATTTTTCTATCCTACATGTTCAGATCTGTGCCTTCCTTTTTAATGACTCTGTAATTTCCCATTGCTAAGGCCCATCATCTATTTAAGCAATACTCTAAAACATGGTCCAGTGTTTTCCTGTTTCAAAAACTGCTGCAATAGAACATACGCTGTAGAGAATTCTGTGATAGACGGTACACTGAAACGTTGGAGAATTGTGATAAGATCAGGTTAACTAGAAAACAAAAGATGGAAAAGTTAAAAACACTTCACTGAAAACGTTTCATAGTAGGAAGGGGTTGGGAAGAAATCACTGACAATCCTGTCTGTCTTAGCATACTTTTTACTTGTTGCGTTTTACTTCAAGTCCCTGTCCTCACACATATTTTTAGATGCCATCATAATTTGACTAGTTTTCTTTAGAGCCACAATACATCTTTCTCTGAATTTAAACAGAACAAAACACCAAAACACCACATTAAACCCCCTCAAACCTCTCCCTCCCTCTGTCCCCACACTTGCACCCACTCAGCTACCAAGAAATTTAACTAGATGAAAGCTGTCGGTGTGGGAATCTGACACAAGCATCTTCCCATGTGTTTCTGTATTTGTAAACTCCGCTCACTCTCAAGCTACTTTAACGCAAGCCTTTGGTTTATTTTTATACCTCCCCCACTTGACTGTGGGCCCTTGTTTATGAGCTGCAACCTGTTGTCATTTAATAGACAGCCCGGAAGCCTTGCAGGAAGGTTGTTGAACAGCTTGTCTAGAGGGTGTCCATTTAGGGAGCAGTTTGCAGGGGTGGGAATCTCAGGAATGGGGCCTCCTTCTCTCAGGAGAAAGGGCAGTTTTAGAAGGAGCTGATATCCACGTCATTCCTGCTCAAATTGAAGTTCTTTATCGTTAGTTACTTAGTAGGAGCCATTGGCATTGGTCACAGGCCTGTGTTTTAGACCACTTCCCCACCCCTGGGAGCGCCAGGACTTCCCCAGTCCAACTGTGGGCAGGGCTCACTTAAAATTGACTCACCAAAACCTTATCAAGTGCGCTAACCTTGTAGCAGAGTTAGGGGCTTTACTTGATCTTTAAGGAACAAAAATAAAACGGACACTGGACTGAAATTTAGCATTCCTACTTCCTGCTAAGTTGTCACGTGTGCTAAAGCGGCTCCTTCACCTCTTCAAACCTGTATCCACATCTATAAAGTGAAGGAGTCTTTTTTGAACCTGACTTTAGTGTCTCTTGGCATATCAACAATCTGATTCTACAAATTAAAGAAATATTATTAGGTGCCCTTGATGCTTTTGAAAAGGATGGACTGGTTATTTTAAAAGCCCTCCTGGCGTAGAGTTGAGCTGCTAACTGAAACAGTGATGGTTCAAATCCACAGCTGCTCCACACAAGAATGGTGAGGGCAGTTTCCCCCCATAAAAGGTTTACAGCCTTGGAAACTCAACAAGGGGTCAGTGCAAGTGGCACTGACTCTAGGGGTCTTGGTTTTGTTTTGGGGAAGGTGGCAGAGCAATGGTTAGAGCACTTAGAAGTAGTCAGTTTCTAAAAAGATTATAGCTTTGGAAACACTATGGCAGTTCCACTCTCCTCTAGGGCTACTAAGGGAGTTCTGGAAGCCCAGTGGGTAGAGAGTTGTACTGCCAACCCAAAGTCAGTCAGTTCGAATCCACTAGCTTCTCTGAAGAAGAAAGATGATTGTTCCTCCTGTTTGTTTAAAGCCTCTGCAAACCTGTTGGAGGAACAGCTCCATGAGACAGACTGACTTGATAGCAATGAGTTTGGAGTTTTGGTAGAGTTGGCCTTCTGAGAGCATAATCTACAGGGAGCTTCACTGTAACCCAGAGGCAGTTCAGATTTCTGGCAGTTCAGATCTACCAGTAGCTCCATGGGAGACAGATAGGCAGTCTTCTCCTGTGCAATCCACAGAGCCTTGGAAACTCAGTAGAGTGTCGAATGTGAGTCAGTTCTGATGGGATGGCCGTGACAAT